CGGCGCCGTGTGGCCGGCGACCCGCGGCGCCCCGCTGTCCCAGCACCCCGCCGCCGTGGCACCAGGGCACCCCGGCACCCCAGCACCGTGTAACCACAGCGCCCTGGTGTCCCAGCACCCCGGCACCATGGCACCAGGGCACCCTGTCATCCTGGCACCCTGTCAGCCTGTCACCCCGGCACCCCAGCACCCCGGCACCCCAGCACCACGTAACCGTGGCACCCTGGCACCCCGTTGTCCTGGTACCATGGCACCAGGGCACCCCAGCACCATGGCACCCTGGCAACATGGCACCAGGGCACCCTGGCACCCTATCACCATGTAGCTGCAGCACCCTGGTGTCCCATCACCCTGGTTCCATGGCACCCTGTCATCCCGGCACCCCGTCATCCCGGCACCCCATCACCATATAACCGTGGCACCCTGGCACCCCATCGTCCTGGCACCCCGGCACACTGTCATCCTGTCACTGTGGCACCCTGGCACCCTGGCACCAGGGCACCCCGGCACCAGGGCACCCCATCACCATGTCACCATGTCACCATGGCACCCTGTCAGCCTGTCAGCCTGTCACCCCGGCACCCCATCATCACATAACCACGGCACCCTGGTGTCCCATCACCCTGGTACTGTGGCACCAGGGCACCCCGGCACCCCAGCACCACGTAACCGTGGCACCCTGGCACCCCGTTGTCCTGGTACCATGGCACCAGGGCGCCCCAGCACCATGGCACCATGGCACCCTATCACCATGCAACTGCGGCACCCTGGTGTCCCATCACCCTGGTACTGTGGCACCAGGGCACCCCGGCACCCCAGCACCACGTAACCGTGGCACCCTGGCACCCCGTTGTCCTGGTACCATGGCACCAGGGCGCCCCAGCACCATGGCACCATGGCACCCTATCACCATGCAACTGCGGCACCCTGGTGTCCCATCACCCCGGTACCATGTCACCATGGCACCCTGTCAGCCTGTCATCCCGGCACCCCATCACCATGTAACCATGGCACCCCAGCACACTGTCACCCTGGCACTGTGGCACCCTGGCACCAGGGCACCCCAGCACCATGTCACCATGGCACCCTGTCAGCCTGGCACCCTGGCACCTCAGCACCCATCACCACGTAACCACGGCACCCTGGTGTCCCATCACCATGGCACCAGGGCACCCCGGCACCCCAGCACCATGTAACCATGGCAATCTGGCAGCCCGGCACCCTGTCACCCTGTCGTCCTGGCACCCCGGCACCCTGTCACCCTGGCGCTATGGCACCCTGGCACTCTGTCACCAGGGCACCATGGCACCTTGGCACCCCGGCACCATGGCACCCTGGCACCCCATCATCCTGGCACCTCAGCACCCTGTCATCCTGGCACCCTGTCACCAGGGCACCCCATCACCATGTAACCGTGGCACCCTGTCACCCCGGCACCCTGTCACCCTGTCACTATGGCACCCTGACACCAGGACACCCCATCACCATGTAACCATGGCACCCTGGCCTCCCATCACCCCGGCACCATGGCACCCTGGCACACCTGCACCCTGTCACCATGGCACCATGGCACCCCATCACCACGTAACCAGGGCACCCTGGCACTCTGCCACCCTGTCACCAGGGCACCCCAGCACCATGTAACTATGGCACCCTGTCACCCCAGCACCCTGGCACCCCAACACCCCGGCACCAGGGCAGCATGGCGCCAAGGCACCCCAGCACCCACTGGGGACCCCCCCAGCCCCCCCCAGCCCTCCCGGGGAGCGCGCGCCCTCGTGCAAAGGCCACCTCTGTGCTTGCAAGCGTGCAAACGCATGCGCGCGCTTGCAAGCGCGCGCATGCGTTTGCACGCTTGCAAGCACCCGCGTACAGCGCGCGCGCGCAGACCCGTGAGTTTGCATGCTTGTGCCCGCCCGCTTGCGCACCCCGGTGCAAAGGGCGCACGCACGCTTGCAAGCACCTGTGCCCGCCCGCGTGCTTGCACGTGCGCGCACGCCTGCGAGTTTGCACGCTCCTGCTACGGGCGAGCACCCCCTATTTTTGCACGCGCAGCGCGCGTGCAAAGGCGGCCTGGCGCGAGCGAGCGTGGCCCCCAGAGCTGCTGGGACACAGGCGCGTGTCCCGGCCTCGTGCGAGGGGCACGCGCAGGTGGGGGTGGGAGGGGCCGTGCTGGTGTGAGCACACGGCCCTTGTGCAAGGGCACACGGCCCCCGTGAGCACACGCAGCCCCCGTGCAAGCACGCTCCCCTGTGCAAACACACATCCAGCCCTTGCACAAGCACGCTTCTGTGCAAGCACACAGCCCCATGCAAGCACGCGCTATTGTGCAAGCATGCCCGCAGCGCTGCGTGAGCAAGCGCGGCCCCGTGCAAGCACGCTCCCACGTGCAAACGCACATCCAGCCCTTGTGCGAGCGCGTTGCTGTGCGAGCACACGCAGCCCCCGTGCAAGAACGCTGCCATGCCCCAGTGCACCCAGCGCTGGTGCAAGCGTGCTCCCTTGCACTCACACAGCCCTCGTGCAAGCACTCTGATGCGCTCTTGCACCCAGCCCTGGTGCAAGCCTGCTCCCCTGCACACCCAGCACCCATGCAAGCACAGCCCTGGTGCAAGTGCACTCACCTGCAAGCACACAGCACCCGTGCAAGCCCACTCCCATGCACCAGCGCACCCAGGCCTGGTGCAAGCACCGCCCTGCTGCACGCCCGCTCCCTGCACACCCAGCACCCGTGCAAGCACGCTCCCCTGCAAGCACGAAGCCCAGCACCCGTGCAAGCACGCTCCCCTGCAAGCACCAAGCCCTTGTGCAAGCACAGCACCTGTGCAATCGCACTCCCATGCACCAGCGCACCCCGGCCTGTTGCACGCCCGCTCCCTGCACACCCAGCATCCGTGCACGCCCAGCCCTGGTGCAAGCACAGCACCCATGCAAGCACACTCCCATGCACCAGCGCACCCAGCCCTGCTGCACACCCACTCCTCTGCACACCCAGCCCTGGTGCAAACACAGCACCCGTGCAAGCACAGCACCCATGCACCAGTGCACCCAGCCCTGCTGCACACCCACTCCCCACACACCCAGCACCTGTGCAAGCACGGCACCCATGCAAACACACAGCACCCATGCAGCAGCGCACCCCGCCCTGCCTCACGCCTGCTCCCTGCAGCCCCAGCACCCATGCAAACACCCAGCACACATGCACCAGCGCACCCAGCCCTGCTGCACACCTGCTCTCAGCACACCCAGCCCTGGTGCAAGCACAGCACCCATGCACCAGCGCACCCCTCCCTGCTGCACACCCACTCCCTGCAGCCCCAGCACCCGTGCAAGCACAGCACCCATGCAAACACCCAGCACCCGTGCACCAGCGCCCCCCG